TGTGTGTGTGTGTGTGTGTGTGTGTGTGTGTGTGTGTGTGTGTGTGTACTTGATTTGTTGCCAATGTCCTGCCTGAGCAGATGATTTCTGTTTCAATGGAGATCGTCAGCCAAATGTGTTTTGTTGTCCAGCTTAAGTAAAACATTTCCAACTAAATTGACCTTTCTCAGGGCAAGGCCCCGTCATCTATAAATGTCCTCCTATAACTGTCTGAAGATGCGGGTGATTAAACCATTGACACCTCGCATTCAAGCTTTGACTGAAAATCTATAGGCATTCAAAATAGCAGATTACTCTCCAAATAGGTTGCCACCCTCTCTCTCTGTCTCTCTCTCGTTCTTTTTTCTTTGTTGTGTCCTTTCCTCTTGCACCTTTTCTCATCTCAATGCCCCGTGCATGCGACACCATTCCGCCCCAATTCAACCAGGTTTGGAGATGACCCTGGATTATTAGTTTAAGAGATTCACTAACCATGTCTCCTTGCACATCTGTTAGGTTTGTTAGAGATTCAGGCTGGGCCAAGCCATCAGGCCACCCGGTCAAGCGTGTCATTGTACGGAAATGAGTGTGATTGGAATCCGTTTCAATTCCATCAGGTTTCCACAGGAGCTGAATGCGGGCAAGATCAGCGCTGAGATCATGTGGAGCCTCTTTGCCCTGGACATGAAGTATGCAATGGAAGGTGAGTAATGCTGCTGATCAGACAAATTATCTCTTGCTTGAAGGCATGCTTGTATGTGTAAGGGAGTGAATGAGATCTGAAAATAAATGGTGTAAATGGATTGAGTGTTGGTTAAGAATAACACGTTACACTTGATTGTGTAACAATGTGCACAACATCCAGAGTAGTCACTACTGAATGAATAGCTACGTGTTAGCTATTTACTAATTAGCAGTTTATTCTAATTTGTCCCTTCTACTTCCTGAATACCTACTCAGGAAGAACTGTTAAGTGTTACTGTGCTGTACCTCTTTGAATCTGAGTGCTGTTTATTGGCTGGTGTCACAGTGTTGTTTATCGGCTGTGTCTGGCTGTGGTCAGCTCTGCTGCCTATCTAGATTACACTCCTCTGATTTCACTCTATTGATCATTATAGAGGAACTGGAACTCCTTATAATCAAGATAAACAATTGATTTATGGTATAATCGAAACCAGAAGAGATGCTCGGGTTAGTGTGTTGGTGTGCTACTGTGTGTTTGTGTGTGTGTGTGTGTAGGTGTGTGTTCTTGTACTTTGGTAACTATGTGGTCCAATTATCCTCACAAGCAATATACAAGAGACATGAGTAAAGTATAGAGTTTTTTTTATTGTTATTTATGGAACATGTTAGGGTGATTTTCATTCCGGTATTGTGCATGTGTATCTCTTCAGTCGTAGGTAGGTAGTAGCTGTAAATCAAACAGTTTGAAATCATATCGACAAAATTGAACATAATTATGGATACACAGCAGCCATTACAAACACAAGTATTGAACTTATTATATTGTAACTGGACCATTAGTATATATGAAGAACTGCCTATAGTTTTGAGGATAAAGGCATAAAAAGGGAATTTTACACCATATGAAACGAGTGATCTGTAATCTAACATGAGCCAAAATAATCAATCAATTTCTTCCACTATCGCTAATTACTCAAGAGTGTAAATCCGTCATTCCATAGCAGTCCTACAGTTCCACAGTTCAACAGTAAATGTGCTACAAAATGTATTTCACATTTAGGATTCTTGTCATCTTCAGTAATTTAGTATTTTGTCAACACAAGTCAATTTTTTTTCCAAAGCCAGCAGAGACTCACAGGGATCAAGCAATACATCTAAGATCTGCTCTGCTGGTAAGAAGATAGATTTGTCTGATTTTAACGGGGGCTTTGACTTCAATCCCCACCTGCTCTATCTCAAACTCAGCTTAGGCTTTATTACCCAGAAATCCTGCAATATGACATGTGCAGCACACACCATGCTCATGTTTTCCAAAGTCCTCTCACTTTTGTATCAATCCAAAGTGTGTAGTTTTATATTTGACTCAGTACAAATGTGCAGCTTCGGCCCCACTTTGACATATATGTTGATGCAGGTGTTTTTTTAATACATATTTTGCTGGGATCCGAGTTGAACCTGTGAACCACCTCGATGTTGAACTAGAAATCGCAGAGGCCGTGGTATTTGCAACTTTAATGATGACAGAGGGGGCAGAGAAGAAGCGGTAAGAGAAGCATTGGATCCGATTGAGGTCAAGGATTGAAAATGCTCTTCAGATTGTGTGTAAGAGGAAGGCAGAGATGCACCAAAATAGCTTGTTGGTGATTTATCCTCATCTACACGGCACGTACCTGCCGCCTTTCTAAGTGCTAAGCCATCTTGGGTCACTATGGTAACCAGGTGAAACTGCAATCTGCAGAGCCTCGATGTACCCACACGAAGGACACATATAGATTCTGCCCAATGCAATATGATGTTAAATATGAGGTGGTTTTAAATATGATCTGCTTTTTAGAACCAGAATGTGTATGTGTTATTTTAAAGAGACACAGAGCGTCATTGGTGTGTGGCACATATGGATAATGTGTCTCTGTGGTAGATTTACATAAAATCACTAATCCTGACCCTTTCTACACTTCCACATGTGTCATTTTAACATTCACTATATCCTTGTAAAGTGTACTTTAATACGTTGGTGTATTTTTTACTGAAAACACAGGAGTCAGCCATCAAGACTACCAGTAGCCTCTATCTTATATTAGTGGTAATGTCGAAGTTACTCAGACTTCCGTTGTCTTTTGTCATAGATGTAGTTACTTGTTACCTCATCTCTTCCCTTTGCCTGAAGAGAAAAAAAAGGCATTGTGAATATGAATTATCCATCAACCTTGTTTCATCATCAGGCAATGCAATAAGCTGAAACTGTGTCTCCGCACTGGAAGGATAGTGACCACTGTATGCTTTGTGTTATAACACAAACTAGCAGATTTTGCACAAAATCCAATCCCACTGACATTCTGTAAAATGTTGTTTTAAATTGTATAATTAATACATTTGTGGTTCCTAAGCTGTTGTTACAAACAAATCCAGAGTTGGCACATGTGTTATTCCTGTGCGTTGTTTACATAGCCATGGCCATGCATGCATATTAGTGAATTTGAGTCTGACTCCCCAGTGGCTAGCTAATGGCTGCCGCTCTGCACTGCACTCATACAGTGGTTAGCTCTTATAACAATATCCAGATCAACGTGGTCATTGTGCAAGTGTATCGCCCACTCTATGGTTCCACCCTAAACACCGAAAGCCCTGTCAGCCCTTTTGCCTTTGTTTGTTTGTGGTTCAGCCGTCTCCATGTTGAGAGCTGTTTGGTGGCAATAGATGTGCTCTGAGTTCCGCAATGCATACAGGAGATTAGCTTGTATTAAATATATTTTAACGTTAAAGAATATTATAATTCGGATTGTATGTCTGCATATCTGAGTCAGGGCAGCTGGACATGTGACCACCTAGGGTGTTAATGACTGCTACCACAGCAGGTTTCGGTAGGGTGTGTTCGTGTGTGTTTGTATGTGTGTGTGTGTGTGTGTGTGTCTGATTTTCCTGAGGGTGTCCGTGTTACAAAAGGAGACAAGAATCATGGATGCACTCAGTCACATATACCCTCTTTCTCGCTCCTTGAGCCTGAACCCTCTTCCCTTGCTGTGCCTCCTCTTGCATCATCTTGTCAGCACATCACTGCCTGCCCACAGCGACACATGCCAGGAGGACATGACCGTCATGTTCCTCACCACTTTGTATGAATTATTGCTAATTTCTTGTTGGTCCTACTGGCTGACAGAGTTCTAGGTTTGGTTCAGTGGAGACAGGTTAATGGTTAAATGGAGAGCTTGACAGCTCATAAACCGCATAACGATGTAGAGTGTTTTACTGTATAGATTGTAAAACCACACAAAAAACAGATGTTGCAACTTTAAAAGCAGAGCCCACTTTTAATTGCTGATTCTGTGTACTTCATGCCATAGGTATGTGAGGTACAGTTTTTGTTGCAGAATATGATCATATAAATATATGATACATTGACATCAATACCTCACTATCCTGTCCACTAACGAGTACAGGCTACACATCAGTTTTACAAATGGAAGTATGAGTGGTGTTCATGTGTCGTATTATGTATTGTCAAAAACGTTTTACTGTTGAACATGCACCTCATCCATAGATGCTCCTCCTAACATTTTCTTCTGCTTATAGTAGAAAAAGGAATGTATGACATGTTTTTGTTGTTGTTGTGTTTTTACTGTAAATCGGTAACACATTAGGCCTCAACAACTTTCAAATTGACCCATGCTGCTGCACTGGGTGGCAACAGTCTCTTTGCTCACAGGGAGATAGAAGTGCAGTTAATGAATTCTGTATCAGGAATTGATAACATTGACACGCAGAGTAATACAAGCAGTGTATTTATATGTTACCCAAATGAAGTCTCACAAAAGATGTGGTTATAGAAAAGAACATGATTGGTTATACTGTAAGAAATCATTGATTTCTTAGGTCATCTTCGATTCATTGTTATGTATCTGTTATGTAAATACAGTGCCCAGGAAGTTTTTTTTTAATTCCTGGTATGACATTTAATCAATCACTCTCAGTGTCTTTGTTTTTAAACAGTTAAACTGTATATGTATGCAAGCTCACATATGCATATGCATTCTGCACATACTCCTTTATTCATGCATGTACTGTCTGTGCAATGAATGGTAATAATGAGGTGGTAGGAGTAGGTATACCGAGCTGTTCTCATGCAGACATATAGAAGTAACTGAGAGTGACCTGCTTACATAAGAAAGCACATATAAGTAACTGGTAAGGCAGCTTACAGAGACACCCTAAAGGAGGCGGGCCAGAATGTCCTGCTTTGTTGGTGCGTGTTTCTCCACTGTGTGTCTGTGTGGCTGTGCAAGTGTTCAGTTGGGCACGTAAGTAAGAAAGAATGAATGAGAATAAAAGAAGAGTCTGTATTTGTACGTGTGTGTGTGTGTGTGTGTGTGTTCACGCACGCGTGCATGTGCATTACTTAATGAAGTCTCTGATGCATCCTCTGCTTCCTGCTCGGAGGCCTTTGGTGCCAGAGCTGGTGCAGAAGTGGATACTGCTAATTTTAGCATCTCTGTGTGAATCTCTGAATGTGAGAGAGGGAGAGAGAAGGAGAGCAACCGCGAGAGGTAGGAGGAAAGACAAAGAAATAGAGGATAAAATAAGAAACCATGAAAAGGAGGAGGATGTGAGAGGGTGAATGAATAGGGCTGCAGCCGAAATCAATCAGTCATTCTATTATTTTCTACCTACATGAGAAACAATGAAAAGGGTACGCTACGGAAGCCCTAAGAGGCAAGGGGAATATATATATTTTTTTGCTCAGAAATGTTGGCCAAAATGATACCTAAAAGATCATGCATTGGAGATAGTGATTCCTACATAATGAGATTGTACTTGTGTGGAGTCACAGTTATACTTAATATAATGAAGAACAAGTAGTGCTACCTCTAGACCTCTGTGATGAAGTTCTACAGTACATGCTGTACATCCACTGTATAGTTGTTTAATGGCTGCGGTCCCTGGAGCAAGTCATTAAGGATCCAATGCTCCAGCAGCCCATTTACTCATCTTCAGCCTGTTGGAACAGCTTTACTCAATAGAATATTTTAATTGAATTGCCTCTGCATGAGTAGTTTTGCTCCGACAGAAAGACATTGTTTACGGAGTTATTGTGTTCTCAAACAGTTTCTAATGCCTCTTTGTAGTTTTCAGCATTGCATAACGCTGCACATTCTATTCTGATCTTTCTGTGCCTCAGCTAACAGCGAATTGCTTTTTATTTTGATGTGTTTTGAGATTTCCCAAATGTTATATTTTGCAGTAGACTTTTGTATTAAAACATCACACCGCAGTGGTGATTCATCAGACTGAAGTAGAGGGGACTCTTACATTATTAAGTCATAGGTTTGCCTGTGTCCTAATGCATTATATGATTGAGTCACATCAACAGGAGTCTCTGTGGGCTCTGGTGTTATAGCAGAGCTGTGTCAGTCGGCCCCTGTGATACATCTTAGGGGGTCCATTGACAGAACTGGGTCGGAAGCCAAGATGAAGGAATTATGTCACAGGGGAGAACCATACCGGCCTCAGCTGCCACGCTGGTTTGTCCGTCCCTGTGGGCTGAGTCAGACAGGATGACATCCTCACCAGGGACCTTGAGCCTACTCCTCCCTCAGGACCACCCACACTGTTTATCACCAGCAGTGCACAAAGGCACACACACACATACTACTGTGTATGCGTGCACAGATGCGCATACATGCATAATCTAACACGCACAGACATGCACACACAGATATGATGGCGCTATTTTAACTTGCCTGATTGCAATGCTATATGATGTATGCATAAAGACAATGGGAGCGCATTTAGGCACACTTGGCACTTTTGTTTATATTTGTTAATACATATTCGCAAAAGTGCAGGTGAAATTGAAAATAAATAGGATGGGACTTGAGATGAATCATTATCTTCCCAGCCAGTCACATTATCTATTAAACAGCTGTACCGATCACAATGGTCCATAATGCAAATGTCACACTAAATGAAAAAGATGCATACTATTGTGGAGAGTGGTATGGTGCGAATGTATGGCGCCACAAGCATGAACAGAAAATCAACCATTATAAGGCAGTTTACATTCTGCAATTACAGTCATAATTCTGCTGTATCACATAATTAAGCTGACAATTCAACAATCAAACCTGTTGGAAAGATGGCGATGAGGCACGCAGCTGTTGCAGCCGGTAAGCTGATATTTGTGGATGAAAATATAGAGAGAGGATAAGAGTGGTGAGGGTTTAAGTGATGTAGCAAGAAGAGGGATTTTTCATGGAAATATTTAGCTCATTAAAGACTCACCAGCATTCCTGCTATAATTACATTATACTTTCCTTTTTGTTTATCAAAATATGTCAACTGTAGGCGAAGAATTTAAAATTGCGGTAAATATAGAGCTGGTACTCGGGCGTTTATTCTCAACCCTTTGCATAATTCACAGTGTGAAGGGCACAGCGCCTTACGAATGGATAAAGCACATGTCAAGGTCAATAAAAAAACACATTGTAGCGCTGCTTGCTATAGTCTTTGTGATACAAGGAAAGCTCACAATCAAACATGCCTGCACGTAAACAGTATGTGAAATATTTTTTTATTTTTAACGTGTCAATCCATGTTGACACCATGAGGAGACTGGATTTGCATAAACAGCATAAATACAAATTAATTAAATTGCCTTTGAAAAGGAATAATTGCCCATTTGAAAAAAATCTGACACCTCAGCTTTTCAATGTAATTCCTGTCATGGAAATGAAATTCAGATGAATGATAAATGTAACTGTAACATACACAAGCAGAAAACTCAAGACTGATCCAACTCATTTCATGCTGTTTGTACTTTTGTTACAGTAAATTAATCTCCCTTCATAGATTTTATGTCTAGTACAATATCTGTAGATAATGCTAACTCTTGCCTTAACTCTGATGCATTGAAAACTTCCAGTCAAGCAGTACTGTATTGTTTTGGAAACAGAAACAAAAGATTATGTGGGGCAGTAGAAACCTACTGTATTGATTATGTACAGGTTTATACTATGGGCAGTATGTGTATGTGTACTGTACCAAGCTAGCAGCACCTGTCTGGCAGCACCAAAGAAAACACTTGCTGACCTCAACTGTGCTGTCTCCTAACTGACCTCCATCTGCTTGGAAAGAAAGGTTGACAAACTGTGATTGTGTGTGCATGTGTGTCCATCCTGTATGTGTATAAGCTGCCTTGAAGTGCCAACTCAGTAAGTGGCACAGCCAGAGTGGATACCACAGCTCAGATAGTACACAGCCTCTGCGGCAGAATACCTGCAGGCCGTCTGTTGTAAAACAATCTCGACTCAAATATTCACAATGTTTAAGCCACCTGCTCCTTCAGTGACACAGACTGACTAGGTGAATCCAGGTGAAACCTTAAATCCCATGGCAATTTCAGCCATCAAAACCACTTTGTTCTTGAAGGTTAGGTCTTGATGAAGGAAGTGATCCTCGCTATTTATCAGTGTTTGCCTTCCAAAATAATTAACCCTGAGGCGCTGGTATCATTGTGGCTTTTCATATCAGCCATCGGCAGGACATTGCAAAACTTTAAACAGTCCCCTAGTGTGACTCCTTGGATTTGTTAGAATATAATTAGAAGTTCAAATCTATATGTGCGAGTTGAACAAACTACACCTCAGACGTTTAGTGTATAAGTGGATCAAATGACTTGAAACAGGCTTGCTGCTCAAAGGCACTTCTCATATCATGGGATATTTAAAGATGTTAGTCTGTGCTGTTTCATAGACGCATTTCGTTAAGACCACTTACGTATACCCGTACTGTGATTTTCAGCTAATCAAGGCTCTGTTTCTGACACTATGTGTACCTATGTGTTAAGGCAACTATCCACCTTTTCTTATACAATGTCTTCAACAAATTTGTCTTCTACAAATTTGAAGAAGATCCTTATTCTAAAGTTACACCAAAACACACATATGTGTGTGTGCACACACATACATGCTGTATATGACAACCTGCCCTTGTTATTTTAATGATGTTTTCTGTAAAGTGCGGTCTTACCTCGTGGCAAAAGTAGTGATGAAATGAGAAGTAACTGATATCAGACTGACCTGAGTGTAGCATTCAGAATCTTATCCATTCCAAGGAGTCAAATATTGCATTGTGCATTTGAATACATTATCCACAGGTAGATATGTTAATTACACGTAAATATTTTCCTCCAAGCTTAGTGAAGAGTGTAGGCTGGTAAGCTTTGCACTATTCATCAGAGTAAGCACAAATGTTCTTCTCAGGCTTAAGACATGACAGCCAGGGTGCAATGCGTGGATTTAAACACGTCTTTGATGTTGTGTGAATGTATGAATCATGTATATGCAAAACAGTGTGTGACTATGTGTGTCTTTATTTCTGCCTTACCATGTAGAATAACCTGCTGTGAAATTTAAAAGAAATCTATCACAATCCTTTAAACTCCCAACTTCTCTGGACTTGTATCCAGGTATAGCCAAATTGTGTCTCAGTACAGCTGAGATGGATTGGAGTTCACACCTGGCAAATCCAATATGTCTCAAATGTGTCTGAAATACACATTTATGATCAGATGTAGCTTCACCAAACCCCACATTTTCAGCGGTGGAAATCTGTAAAGCTGCTGAACCAAAAATAGACTCCTGCACTGTGCCATAGAGAAAGGGATCGTATGGCTATGTCACAGAGAGCAGTTAAGAAGGAAAGAGAGGCCATTCTAAGCATGTGAACAAACCACCCATGCCATTTTTGGCCATACTAGTGGCATAGCTCAATGAATAGCAATGGTGGTTGGTCAATCCAGACTGAAATATCTCAACAACTATTGTGTGTATTGCCATGAAATTTTGTACTGGGAAGAAAGATGTTTTTTTCTCAGTTCTGTGTTGAGTGCTATTCAGCAAATGTTAGCATACTTACACAATGTTTCCTATCGCCTCTGTTTCTTCTCATCCTTCTTAATGCTGTTGTCTCATCTGTAGGAATGTGTAGCAAAGAACATTTGGTTTACCCACCACTGCAGTTGCAGAATGATTTCCCTCTCGTTGTCTTTTTCGCCCATGTTTTTTTTTTTTGTCTCATCCAACTTCATAGGTTTCCTTTCTTTTCCCACATCTCTTGTTTCCTCTCTTGGACCATCACCATCCATCCCTCCTCCAGGAGATCCCATGGAAATGTTTAATTGTTCTGAAATGTCTACATTGAGCTAAACTAAATGACTCAGCAGCGTTGTCTGCTGCAATGAAAGTCAAATCCATTTTAGCTTCAGTTTGTTTGCAGTCATTCAGAGGCTTTCTTTCCTTTGAAGGGAGCTGGATACTGTCGCTAGCTTGGTGTTATTTTCTTATTCTTTGATAGCTCAAGGTTGTACATCATTACGGTTAAGGTGTCCGATGCAAATCAAACACTGCTGGTCAGATCTGTTTTATGCTTATTAAGATATTTGCACACTTCTATTAGTGTGTGAGTGTGTGTCTATACTTGAGTTTTTGTGAAGAAAGAAGCAGGAACTGAGGTGCTGCTTTCTGTCCAAATCACATGAAACTCATTGACTATATTGTATACTGACAATTTAACATGCTCTATGGTTAATTCAGAGTCTGAGAATCAAGACTTCAGTGGATATACTCTATATACTAACGTGTGCTTCTCATGTTTTAATCAACATTACAGAGCATGACAAGCACCGCCTATGCAAAAGTACTGAATACATGAATCTTCACTTCAAAGTCAAATGGTTCCATAATGAGTATGTTCGTGACCTGCCAGCCTTCAAGAATGTCCCGCCTGAGTATTCTCTGTAAGTATCCTCTTTTTTCACCTACACATAGCGGACTAACTTACCTATAAACTGAACCGATTTACGGCACACGTGTCACAGACTTAGTGAGGTGAGGTTTTGCAGTAGAGACTGAAAGGAGCAGTGAATATATGTACATATGTAGATTAATCTCTGTGGAACCCCACAGGAAACTATTTTGCAGCCTAAAAAAACATTTCTCTTGACCAAAACTGTTTTCAAGTACTCAATAATTTAATTAATATATTTTAATCATATTCCAGTACTACAGAAAACCACAAGGAGAAAGATTATGTAATGGTCAACAGTAAGACTATCAATCATAGTAGTTCAGATCAAGACTAAATCTGTAAAACTGTCATGTTCATGTAATCTGTGCTGGCAGTTCTTTTTTTTCCAGCAAGACGTTTTCCAAACAAGCTGATCATGAACTATTTTGGATGAGGAGAAAAAATGTATAACCTAAAAGCACGTTATTCTTTACCCATAACTCTGTTTTCCATTGTGCATGCATGAAGCAGGGATAGCTGCAATTTAAACACGTGTAATGCAAGCAGGGAACGCAATGACCTCTCCCGTCTTGCCAGTTTGTCAGAGTAATGACTCCCCCTCCCCCTCTCGAGTCACTCAAACACACACAGTCTTTCTCTTTCGTGTGTCTGTCTCTCTTGTCTTTCTCTGTCACCACACAAACCTTATTTATTGGCTGTCCCTCCTGTAGCAGATGCCCTTAGCCAGAGTTCAAAGTAGTTTTGGGGGGGACATCTGTTGCTCTGAGGACAAGCTCAGGCACCATATTACACAAGGAAATGGCAAAGTGAAACAAACAGAACAGCATTATTATTCCACTTACAAATGTACTTCCTCATCCACCCCGGCCTGTCCTCTGCTGTCCTCTGTCTGAGCCTCGCAGTCTAATCTGTCGACTAACGGAAACCTGATATCCATGCCTGCATGGATTTCAGCCTTGGCCAAAACCACACTGAAATCTGCTAGGTCTTAGGCAAATGCTAACAAAACAACTTCCCACTATGGTTTTACCATTCAATTAAGGAAAGTGTTTCTTTTTTAGGTGGTTCGAGCCATTTGTAATTCAGTGGCTTGCTGAGAACGAGGACGTTGCCATGGATTTCCTCAATGGAGCACTGGAAAGGGACAAGAAAGATGGAGTGAGTATAACATTGAATTATTTCTCAATGTATAACTTTATATTTAACCAACCAAGCCACTTAAGACTGTTACTTATTCAGAAGGACAGTCTGCTTAGACTGAATTTACTGAAGAGTGTGTGGGGGATAAAAGACATTTTGCTGTAAAAAAACAATCCTCGCCCGGAGGCATCATTCCTGATAAAAACAGGAAGCAAAACATGATTTTCAGGGCAGTAAAAGGCGTATGATGAGAGAAAATGTCCCCAAGCTTCAAAAAACAAGTTGGACACATAAATGATTGTAATATATTAATGCATCTTCTAGCTTAACATATAAAAGCATTGCACAGCACTATATATTTCTGATTTACGCGCTTGATTTGTGTAACCCAGAATGTCCACTAAATAATGTTTGTAGTTAAAACCATGATTCATCTTTACTGTAACACACGAAACATGGAATTGAACGAGACTTTTATCTCAATCATGAATTAACGCAGGAATTCATACGTGTCAAAGATATAACTCTGTAGAGTTTAAGTGTTAAATGTTTATAGTGCACCTCAGATGTTACTGAGTATTCATGTGTAAAGGGTTAACAGTACACCTTCTAGTTAGTAATTTCCAGTAAGTGGTCTAGATTGCTCTGTGAGTGATGTAATTATTAAGTAATTGGTACGTTAGTCTATGTTCTCTTTACCGTGCCTTAATAATGTCTCACAAGGTGCTTAAAGGTCTTAAGTCTACATCTGTATCTTTCTCTCGTTTCCTTCTTCCAACATCCCCATCACTCTCTCTACCCTCATGTCGGTCTCTCTCCCCCTCTCTATCCTGCAACAGTTCCAGCAAACCTCGGAGCACGCCCTCTTTTCATGTTCGGTGGTTGATGTGTTCACTCAACTAAACCAGAGTTTTGAGATTATCAAGAAGCTGGAGTGTCCAAACCCACAGGCTCTGGCTCATTTCATGTGCCGATTCGCGAAGGTCAGGTTCTTTGGAACCCCCCTCCTGTGGAGAGTATAAACTCATAGTTAAAGAGTTTGCCATTGAGTTGAGGAGAGACTGTGGTATATTTATTCAGTTTGATATTATCTTGTTATTAGGTTGTGACTGCTTACATTTTTTCAGTGAGTTCCAGAAATTGAATAATAGAACAGCCAACAAACTGTAATTATGACATTGTCTCTTTCCCTACAGACTATCAACAAAGTTCTTCTGCAGTATGCTGTAATCATATCCAAGGACTTTCCTTTGTATTTGAGTAAGGAGAACGTGGTAAGTACCCAGTCAAAGCCTGCTAGTGTTAATAGCAAAGTTTACATCGATTGTGTTGGTTTGAAATGCAAATATGGTTTGTCAGATGATGGTGTCTCCGTGATGACGGTCTCTAACAGCAGTGTGTATGGGAAGAATTTCAGTTCGCAGCCCAGTCGGTTTACACTGAACCCTGCTCTGCCTTCTGTAATGCACTTCATGAATTGTCTCTAGGTCCCCTCTCTCTCCCTGTTCCAACTCTCAATCTGTCCTTTCAAATGAAGGCAAATATCTGAAAAAATGTAAACAGAAAAACAAAAAGCGTCTTTATTAACCGGGATGCAATTATTCATCTCACAATCCATAGCTGGCAAAAGTCACTGGTATTTTCTGGGCTTTTTGTCCATTATTTAATGTGATGGATGACTAAATGCAGAGCCTTCTGAGTGGCCTCATTATCCTTGCTGGTCTTTGAGGTTGAAGTGAGAGATAACACACAGGATGCTAGAGGAGGAGGCAGATGCTTCTTTACAGTGTTGACAGGCTCATTACTATTGTTCCAGAGAAAGCATTAAAATCTCCCTCCCAGAGACAGGGCTGAACAGACAGATGATGGAAAGAAGGAAATAAGAGGCAGATGGAGTTGTACAGTGGCAGGATTACATCAAATTAAATCTAAGCTCTAATTTGTTAGACTGTCACGTATATAGTGCATGACCCACATCTTAGCCATTTTTTACCAAGAACGTACTGTGTGTCTGTCTTTCCCACCAACAAACAGACACATACATTATAGCAGTGCAGTTATTGCATTAGTTAAGATGAGGATTTAGAGCAGTGCTTTCCAACTTTCCTTTATTATTGCGACCGCTGCAACAAAGGCCATAGTGTGGACATCAGTTTTTAAAGGTTTGTTCTTGCTTCAGTTTGCCTTAACTATTTTCAAAATCCTCAACAAACAATATTTTACATAAAAAAGCATACATTTGACATTGGTGGAGAGATGCACCCTGGGCAGGAGTTTGCCAGTAAATCACGAGACTGACACATAAAGCCAAACAAAGTTTCACACTCAAATTCACACCTACCAGAAGTTTTGAGTTTCCAGTTAACCTAACCTTCATGTTTTTGGACTGTGGGAGGAAGTCTGAGCACCCTGCGAAAACCCAAACAGGCACAGGGAGAACATGCAAACTCCACACAGAAATGCCCCAGCTTGCCAGCTAGCTCAAATCTACAACTTTCACCCTCTGTCAAATCACAAACATGTAGCTGAGTGAAATCTCCATTGCTTTTATTTAGATTGAGAATATCTCATCACTCCCTTACAAATATGTTCACAGATCTATTGGAGAACAAGCCATTATGTGCTGTCGCAGGGACACTATTGGCTGCTTTGTGGATTGAAAGACACCAATCCTGTCCTGTGGGGCACAGACTAATCATTTTACTACCATCCATTACCACTATCATAATTATGGGGTGTTGTATTTTTGTCAGTTGTTTTTTGGGCAGATAATGTACTGACTGAAAGCTCTGAAGAATTGCTCACAGTCTCCATAAAAAGCAGCGTGATTGATGTCTGTCATCTGTTAAACTTGTTGTGCGGCTGAGAATCGATAATGCTAGACATACTCACTGCAGACATTCCTCTCCCTGTTTTATTATGTATTGCGTTTCCCTGCTGACTGTCGATGTCATGCTGAAAGTGTCAGAAAATCAAAATCAGTTTACTCGTTCTACCCTTCTGACAATGTGTTGCAATTATATGGGCTAGTCTCAAGTGTACGATGTCAATAGCTGTAAAAAAAAAACAAGGAAAATCATGTTCTAGGTTTTTGTTGGATGTCAACACTGTTAAATAGTATCAATGTGCAGTATAGTTGGTTGTACTATACAAACAATCTAGTTTTATCATTAATATACTTGTACTTTTACAGCCCTGCATCATCCTCAACAACATTCAGCAGCTCCGCGTCCAACTGGAGAAGATGTTTGAGTCCATGGGTGGCAAACAGGTCTGTGCCTACTTAAGTGTATCCGTCAGCTGTGTCTATGTCACCTTTTGAGGCAATTCACTTTTAATTAAATGAGATTTTCCATCAGGACTTAAACTTATTTTTTTTTTTTTAAGTATAAATTATTACAATGTAGTTCACCTCCACTGGAAGGTGAAACCACAGGGTTAGCTAAAGAACAGTGTTCCCAAGGCTTCAAAGGATTCAGTGTCTTTCAATAGGACACTTCAGCAAGGTTGATGCCAGGCTTAAACCTCCATCCTCAGATCACCTCTTTGCCGTGAAATAAATGCTGTGTCATGATCATGTAAATGTAAAAGACATTTATATGAAGTGAAAGTGAACTAACCAGACATGTAGTTCAGTTTGCTAAAGTCACCTTTTTGACTTCTACCTCAACTAAAGTTTCTCAATAACTTCCTTTGTACCCAGTCACTACTCCCCTTCCACTAACCCCCCTTGTGTATAATGTGTTTCCTTTTTGTAAACATTGAATTAAAACCCTATAAATCTATGTATTGGGTTTGAAACAACGTTGAGTATTTTCCCTGTCAGTCTATCCCGAGAAGCAGCAGCCTCGGCTTCTTATGACTTACACGCATGTTTCTCTTCTCCAGTATCTAACGCCTGTCTTGCCTTGCGTTTTGTCTCCCGTCGTTGTGTCTTCTGTTTCCCCCCCATTTCCTTTCTGTGCTCTCTCTCTCTGTCTCCAGGAGGAGGGGGTTGTGTCCTTCTGTAAGGTGTGTGTAATAGGACCCCGTCAACACCCCTTCCCACCATTTACCAAATGATACCAAAAAGCACGCCCCCTCCCCCCTGTTCCTCCCCGCCACCCCTCACACGCTTCTCACCCCACTCCCCAAACCCCTCCAGCAACATGTGCCACAGAGCATATGGAATCTGAATTACCCATCAGTCCTCTGGAAAGGTAGCCCAAGCTCACCATCCCGAGCGCTCCGGGGATAGTGGCTCAACCTACCCGATCCCATCTTTATTTTTAGCTTGCTTTTTTTCCCCTTCTGACACTTCTTTATCCATGGCTAATTTAGAATTGCCATATTTATTTTAGTCTGTTGTTCCTCGTATTTTTTTCTAGCGCAAAAAGTGGAGTCAGAGGCTCGCCCAGTTGCTGGCTGTGGTTTTGATCATCTCTATCCATTCCCCAGACTGCAGCCACAAAATGCTTCTGACAGGATTTTTCAGACCGTGTTTAATGAGCTTCTCAAACACTTACAAATCTCTCCAGCTGTGTCCTCAGCTGATGTGCTGCTACCTCCCCACAGTTAGCAGTTCTAGACCTGTCCTGGATCACTCCCAGACCATTATTGTCTGAAGAATAATGACACCAGAAGTCCTGAACTCCCTTCGAAAATCATGGATATTCATTGTCAATGGACAATCCGGTATATCTTTAGATGTTCATTTTAAGTAATTTATCTTGAATACTAATTATGCAGCTGAGGTGTATTTCAGTTTAAAGTTTTCCCTTAGTTTCCTCTCTTCATAGTAGCCTATTCATTACAGAATAGTTTCCTATCAATTAACTCCCAGAGAGCAAATGTAATTACCAAGAGCTGTTATTATAGCATTACCAATAACAGAGATTAGCAATCATCTCTTACAGTGCCCACATTCATGGACTGATTTCTCTAGATTGATATCAGGCTATATTTTGGATGCCGGCCTGTTTGCTAATATGTTTTTCTCACTTTAGAGATGGTAGTTATTAAACCTTTATTTACTTGGCACTGTTCAGGACAAACTGTATTTCGCAATAGTCACCCTGCCAGAGAGTAGATATTGTATTGTTGAAACAGGCAAAAGGGAAGCAAAGCTGGGCTGCTGTTGATAGGCTGACAGCCAGGATAGAGTTTGTGCACTCTGGGGGACTCTGGATATCAGTCAGCTTCCAATGAAACTAGCTACCGTGGAGGAGCCAGGTGTTCTACACATTCTACAAGTGATGTTTCCTTTGCATAACGTTATATCACCATGATGAAAAATATAGGTAATCCCTATTGAATGGTGCGTGAAAGACATTAGATCGGATCTATTCTGGTATAGCCAATATACATTAATATAAATAGCATTCATCGTTTTATTTCTCGACATTGTATCCCAATTTAAGACACTCCAAGACCTTCATTAACCTGACATTTTAGAGGATGAACCTTAGATATTTTGCAACTAAACAACTGCCTCACTTGGCAAGTCAAAGTAGCTTTGAATGGAGGCCTGGTAGACATTTGACTTGAGCAACAGGAACCACACACAGACTCAGAATGGAATATTTTCTCTCAGGAGATGACAGGTGCCTTGGTTTATATAGCGGGTGAATGTCCTTTAGCAGCATTCACATTAAGACACAGTGTTCCTGGAAATGAAATGGAGAATCTCAATTTCAGAGACTGCCAAGCTGCAGATTAGAGCCCAGTCACAAACTTTCCCCAGGCCAAGAGGAACTGATAATAGACCAAGGCCTCCAGTATTTTTCTGCTATCACTTGAAGAGATGTTATCTGTTACTCAAAGACTAAAATAACTCGAACCTCTATGGTCAATTTCCTCTGTGACAGGAAAATCTTGAATGCTGTGATCATTTCCATTGAGGTAACAGCAGTACGAATGTGTGCACACTTGAACACACGCACGCACATTAATCAATCCCCTGTGCGCTGCAGATAAGAGGCATGTCTGCAAACTAACAATATCTATAAAAGGTTTAGTTTACATATCTGCTTCCCAGCTGAGCCATCCGCCATAATAATGTGCGAGATGAGCGGCTTCATGGCTAAGCTTACCGGTTCTAATATGACGATCTGTCATGCATGTGGTGCGGTGCCTGTCCTGACACATCCATCTCAGGCACTGAGCCTCTGCGACGTGTGTTCTCCACCCCCATCCAAAACATCAATGTTTAGACATTTGTACATGGCAACCGTAATTCATAAACACTGAGATCAACCGTGATGCAGATGCACTCATACATGCAGTTGCTTACCGACGCACAAATACACTCACACAAAGCACAGCACATGTTTCCGATATCCACCCATGCATTTGCTTATAATAGGCCCAAAACCACAGAGAACACAAACATCTGCACATCCATCACATGCACATGCATACAAATGGTGCTGCAGAAACCCAATACATGCCATGCATGGGCATATACACGCTGTAAATCAATTATGCAAATGTGTTTGTGTGAGCTGGTATATGGAAAATTCTTCATTGCAAGGTCATGTTGGATTTTTCAGAATATCATACCAGATATTTAGGAACATAGTACATGTTTTAGACGGCTAATTATAGCTATTTAGTGAAAACAACATCTCCTGAATAATGAACAAAATTTTGGAAAGTTGCACACTCAAATGAATTAAGTCAAACAAACACATGCAGCAACAATTTCTTCCTGAACATAAAAAGTCACGAAGAGGATCTCAGTCTCAGAACATCTGTAGATAAACAGATAAACAGGATTTATGTATATATGACAGTAAGCTGTTTCCCCTAATATGTTACAATGTCAGGGCTACCTGACAGCAGACTTTCTCTACTGTAACTTGTGTAGTAGTGCACAAAAACATTTCCTTTTGAGAGGCTACTAGCTGGCTGCTTCTTTGCCTTGTCTCTTGACTCGGGCAAGCAGTCATCATTGCAGCGCTCGGAGGTGAGCCGTCCATTTGTATTCAGAACGTTGCTCGGCACAGATGGCAGGCAAAATGAGTGGGAGGCCACCAGCGAGGCAGGTTACCTCTCCTCTGTACCTGTTGTCTCGCCATCTAACACCCCCACCCCAGTTGAGGCAGAGATGCAGCGATCTAGTCAGTGTGGGCTAATGTATGCAGTGTAATGATGTAGTAACTGCTTATTTTCCACTGACAGCTGGATGCAGAGGCCAGTGATCTACTTAAGGAGCTGCAGAATAAACTCAACACAGTGCTGGATGAGCTCAGCGGAGTGTTCGGCTCCAGGTGAGCATTATTGTGACTCAAAGTGTGTGTGTTGGAGATCATTTTCATTAAGGTTAATGTATCCATTCATTTCTTCTTCTTTCAAAGAATTTGTACTACAAGACTGCTTAGTTGCTTAGTTAAAATATAGTTGACCTGAAGTCTTGCTGTGCACCATTCTTGTGTCAGGTTCACACTACATGACTTTCAAAATGTTCAGACTTGCTGTCTTGCAATCAGAAGTTTTGAGCCCAATCCCAAATGTCCCCCCCCCACCCTAAAGTCTTAAACCCTGAACCCTCAGGGACTTATCTGACATCAGCTGTAAAATGGTGAGTGTGAGAGGCTGCAAGGGCTTGAAATGGTATAAATCAAAATGGGACAGCACTTTGCGGCGACTTATCACGTAGACTTGATGACACCAAAGCATGTCATGTACAATTGCGGGTTTTTTACTTCACATTTCTACTCCCTAGCATACTAGATATCTGGAATGCATCTGTGATGCACGGGGGAGTATCTCGGCTCGCGTCTTTGAACGCAGATTTGCCTCTGATCTGGGGCTTTTGTCCAGGAGCTCCAAAAACTGTTAAGGGTGAAAGTTGTGTAATATGAACGAGGCATTAGTGTGCACAGCAAGTCGCTAAACATTTCATCATGAACAAGGCACCCCTGCTCTTATCACCTTTTCAGTAATCGGATAGGACCGGCGAGCTAGCAGGATTTAAGGGATTGTATTTTTTCTATCACACAGTTTCAAAGGTGTGATCGAGGATTGTGTGAAGCAGATGAACCAGGAGCTGGTTCAGATGAAAGGTACGGCCAAAGGGAGCAACGCTGCCATGGATGCAGAGACTGTCCTCCGGCCTCTTATGGACCTCCTGGATAAAAAGTTAGTATTTACTGGATGCAAGGTCAGAGTGTAACCTTTAACATGTGATGCAATTTTGTACCTTGGTGCTAACCAAGTGCCAAACTCTTTTACAAACCAATTGAAAGTCATTAATTCAGGCATCAATAGGCTAAACCATCTACTGCCATCAAGTTTGGCAGTTTGGGCCTTGAGGTGATGTCAAAATAGGATTTCACCCGGTAAAATGCACTCTAGTAAGAAGCGTGGCTAGTGGGCTAACATATGTAGACTTGTTTTTATTTACAGTTATTAATTTCTGTCACTGTACATGTACTCACTGCTTTTTCTGTTGCTAGTATTCATTCAGTTATTTCACAAATGATAAAACTATTTCCTAAATGACAGGCCAATTCCTTATCTTGCACGGCAGCTGGATTCCAGCGTTGTTATGAGTTGATGCAATAATCACATATCACTAGAAAATCCATCTCATTAGACATCAAATAATGTCCAGCAAGCTTGTGCACGGACAAATCTGTGTGCTAAGAGGAGTTACTGGCAGCTACTGGCTTTGCTTAGGTGTGTGTGATGCGACACAGAGGGGCGACTGTTGTTCTAAACAACATGGGGACTCCTATAGAGGTTAGCATAGATACTACTATAGTATCAGTTATATAGGAACTGGAGAGTATTTATTCACTGAGAGAACAGCAATGAACGGCACTGGAAGCATTTCTTGATGGGAAAAGTTGTTTCGCTTTTCTACCGACTGGCTTCGGTAAGAGTTTGATTGACTGATGGTTCATCCAATCACTTGTCAAGTATTTTGTGAAAGTGCCCGCCCTTTTCCAAACAGTTTCCAATGACAGCTTCTCAGATGGTTCTGTGTAACAATCCATCTGGTGGGTCAGGTTAGCCAATCCCACCGCATCATTCAAACTGACTGGTATCAAAATTCACTCAGATTGAACTCTGTGCGATAGTACCTGCAGAGTTTCTGAATCATTCGTTTGGTCAATGTTAATTTTTGTGTGAGGTGGTTGTATCAGAATCTATAAGGTCAAGTTTATTAATAGATACACACATTTCAGCTACCTCTACCCACTGTCTATAACCTGTCTTCTCAAAACTAAGGACCATTTTCTTATGCAACCAAGGCTGGACTATCCAACTGGTCAAAGTGGCCAAAAGTCCCAGCTTTACTGTATGTCAATTGGCTTAAGTTACTTAATCAATTCCATAACTGTGTTGTGTGGGACCACTAACGTACAATATCAACAATGGTGAGTCCCACATTACTAGCCAATGATGGTTCTTTCTTATAGATGCGCATGTGTCGAAATCTAGTTTTGATGTAGGTATTGAAGTAGTTGAAGCAACGGGTGCTTATAAATGGCACTGAGGTTGTAGGTGAGATAGTCAGGGGCCCAACAGCACTCAACGGATTTCAACCAATGATGAGTTTTTCCAGTTCCATTTTATTTCTGTTTCTATTTCCAGTTTTCTTTTTGATAAATAAAAAATGTATATAATACCCAATAAAATGAATACAGCAGTACAATGATTACTACTATTTTACAATTATTTTTAGACCAGGATTATCTGTTAGTGTCTTCAACCTTCAAGGACTATATTTTTTGTCATTCTTGAAAGAACCATAGCGCTGATATGCTTCAACTGAACTCTGGGAATCGCTCTCAACGATTTGTCAAAGCAACATTGAGGCCAATGGGGTATTACAGGGAATCCTCTTAATGATATGGAAATACCAAATCCTTCCTCTTGTCACTGAGACCCTGCTTGCACAATAGGGTGAGATTAAAGCATAAAGCTGCTGCATTCAATCTATGAATCACAGGTGTTTTTTCCTTTTCTTTAATCATATTATTTATTAAAGCGTCATCACTCATTGTTGTCTTTAGCCGTGTTGGCTCAGTTTGAGACACGTGCTTTGAGTGTTGACCTGACAAATGCTCTTCTTTTGCCGCTTTGCAGTTTGATGTTATTTGCCAAGATTTGTGAGAAGACAGTGCTGAAACGAGTCCTCAAAGAGCTTTGGAAAATCGTGCTGAACACCATCGAGAGAACAATTGTTCTGCCTCCACTGAGTGACCAGAGTGTGAGTTTGATCAATGATCTGTTTTTCCCTTATTCTGTTACTCTTTTATCTCTTGGCATGCCCTCCACTTCCCTCCACTTGTCTCTCTCTCTTTCTCTCTCTCTCTCTCTCTCTCTCTTTCATATCCTCCATCTGTTCAGCTCTCTCATGCTCCTGCATAACATACAAATTACTGTAGAGGGAATGAAATATGGCATCTCTAAATCTTCACACACGTGGAGTGAATTGTTAATCCTCCTGTTAGAGCTGGGTTGACATTTTTCATCTCAGGAATATTGTATTTATTGTTTTGTTGGTTTTGGTTTATTGTCTATGGCAACATGAAAGTGTACTTTAATGGCATCATGTCAAGCAGTTTTTCAACATTTTCATCTCCATGGCACTTGGAGTTTCCAAAATAACTAGCTTTAAAGATGCAATGTGTAATGTGATGTGATGCAAAGCCACCTACTCCAAACAATCTAAAAAATATTTTAAAAAAGAAGCCAACTACTTACTAACAGCAAGGCAGGAATACATTACATTTGACCAAATTGCTAAAACACTGAGAACTGGACTTTAAAATAACACTGCTATTCTTATAATCTCCATGTGTGGCGACGGCCTAATGTGTACATTAGCCATCTGTGTGTTTACTGTTCCACTAACCGGGGGCTGTTCTGTACAGTTCAGTACACTGACCCCAGTGCCACGTCAAACCCCAGCTCCAGGAGTCACAGCAGGCTGGGTCTTAATTGGGTTTAAAACACAATTACATTAATGAGTTAATGTTTAACATTTTACCCCTTCATCTTCTGTGTGCTTGTTTTTTTTTAATAATGTTTTTTTCATATTCATCTATTGAGTGTTTATTTTCCTTGCCTTAACGGAAACATATCTGTTTGTCCAACAGCAGGGAGCTCAGATGATCTTCAATGCTGCCAAGGACTTGGGACAGCTGTCCAAACTGAAGGTAATTTTTGGATGAACCAAAAGTGGGTTTTGCTAATCTTAGCTAAGCTTTGCCCACTCGTTGTCATCACAGTAAAACAAGACTTCTCTAACTATGCTGAAAATTACGTATTATATTGTAAATAGTATATCAGAGGCATTCGATAATAGAGACTCTTTTTGTAGCTTTCTAGATACAGTATGTAACTAAATGTCAGAGTGAATAACATCATGACAAGTTACCAAGAATGTAAAATGGATGTTTCTCTCATCCACAGTCTAAAATTGTTTGGATGGAAATAAAATGATCAGTTAGCATCTGCAAATTATTGTGCACTTAGATTCACTTCATCTACAAATTTGGATGGATGGATTATGTAATTTGGAAGCATTGTTATGTAAGCTGCTCTGTAGGTTTTTACATTGTACAGTGTAACTCAGTGCAACACTAACATCTAAGTGCTGATGTGACCGGAGGATGTGTAATCCCTCGAGCTCTGTGTAGGGAGGCATTGGAACGGATCAGTGGTTACGCTGTGGTTTTACTAACAACAGCGGTATGACAGTTCCACAGAGAGGTATTTTAGCTCTAAGTAATACAGGAGATGCAAACTGAATGTGTGTTTATGTGCATTTATATATGAGTACGTGTGTACTTGTTTGTGTGTTTGTACTAATGTTTGTGGGAGTCTGTCAGATGTTCTTTGTGGAAACTTCTGGGTACAGTACGTCAGCACACAGATGGGTGTTTTTTGCTCCCAAAGCATTCAACATTGACATTTGTGATTATGACTGATTATCTTCAACTCAATTCACAGTTTTCTTTTTCATGTAGTATATTATGTTACTTGCTGTGTTCAATTACATCCTTATGATATAAAATTGTATTTCATTGTATTATTAATGCATGTGTGTAACCTCATTTACTACATGCAAATTGACTACAGCTCAAAATACTATTCAAGCGCTCTGAATTCTGACCAATGTAATAGCATAGATTGGCAACAGAGTTACTCAGGCTTATATGTTGTTTGTCTGACACAAATAATGCTGTGTGCAGGACTATTTTGACAATCTATCCTTTGATCTGGTCATTTCTGGGCTGCACTTATCTTCCAAAGCATATGTCACGTGGGAAGATCTATTGTGTTTTATTTGTTTTCCCTCTTAATTTGGTAGAAAGTTAACCATTTCTTTTAAAGAACATTCAATTGTGGATATACGAGTAAAAATATAATAAGTCACTCGAACAATTCTATTTGAACACTAAATTCTACCCCCCCCCTTTTTTTTGTAATAGAATAAAAAGCATTATGGGGTTTTCATTAGAGAGAAATATGTCTTTCCTCCATGCAGCCTTTCATTATTTTGGAGCTTGCCTGAGCGCAGATGTTGATTAAAGCGTTTTCTGTCTCACACCAGCTCTTTAAAATCAGTTTAAAACAGATTGGTGGCAGACAAATCTATATCATATCCTGAATACAAAAGACAAATGTGTATGTAAAATGTGTTTCATATCTAGCCTCTAATTTGAGGAATGGTATGTGCATTTTCAAAGTGTACCACATTGTACAACCCTTTTCTAAATAGGTTGATTAAATCTCAGCAAATAACAGCTAGACTTGTGAGCTTTTGTACACATGATTAGCCAGACAGATGACCTTTTTCATGAAACATTAATGCCAACACCTGGGAATTAAGGCAGTGCCAGAAGTTATTTACTGCAATCAATTCACAAATCAGGAAAACCTAAATTATAATTGACAAAAAAACATTGTTCATGTTTGAAATAGATTATTAGAACTGGTCTGAGGCAGCACGGCTCAAATGTATCAGACACTTGCAGTTTAATACTCAATCTTGAGTACCATGGCCCACGTAAGGTCATAACCATTAAACTGGAGAAACAGCTTAACATTTGAAGCACTTGAATGCGGTGCCGTTATTGTTTTGCCAACTGTAGAGTGTTTGACTTGAACTGATATCCCTCCAGGAGCATGTCATTCGAGAGGAAGCCAGAAGTCTGACTCCACGACAGTGTGCAGCCATGGACCTCGTGCTTCCCACCATCAAGGTGAGTTTTATGTAGATTACATTGTTGGCTGTACAGCGAGAGACACCTGGGTGGCTAAACTTGACCTTTAGAAAAGACACCGACAGCCACCTAAGGCATAGCAGAGCAGAGATATGCAAATTAACTTAAATGAGAATTTTGTAAATCAAAAACAGTGAAATGTGTGGGGCTGTGGCTTATGTCATGATGTGCTTAGGACATAGTGATGTTTATGGCCAGATACTTACATGCTGAAAAAGGTGCATTAACAGTATATCTCAAATGGAAAAACAACCTCTTTGGTGTGTGTGTGTGTGTGTGTGTGTGTGTGTGTGTGTGTGTATGTTTTGTGTTATCCTTCACTGTCACCTCACAAATTGCAAATGAGCTGGCATTAATTGTTTGAAATCTCCTCTTTTTGATAGTATTTCTATCTCCTTGCTGTTTCTTTTTGAGACACAATACAGCTGCACGTAGATGAGAGGTTACGTAATTAATAATATCCGGGAATATGGAAATTTGCCAAAGCCTCTCAGCAAGAGAAAGTGTGAAATGCAGCGCTGTTAATTTACTGCCATACTCCGTGTTGTTGTAAAGGGATTTGAGACAATTTCAAGACCAAGCCTCAGTTATACAGGGACAAGAAGAGAGTTATGGTGAGGTGCCACTAGGGGAAGACTGCGTTATAAAGTGGAGACAAAACTAATTCATTCTGCTGTCTCCAAGGAAACTACCAGGTTTAGATCAATCATGTCGCAGGAATTCTGTTCATCAGTATTCCAATGAGAACAGTCAATTAACATAGATCAGTAATGCCTCCGGAGAGTTAGATAATCAGCCCAAGAAATGCTATTCAGAGGGTTATTTGCGTCATATTTGTCATATAGCACAACAGCTTTAAACCTGTTATCTACAACAGACAAAATATACTGATTACTACAAATATGTGGTACTGGCTTCTCTTATTTCACTAGTCAGCCCAAATGTTACCCCAAAGGCACATATTGTATTAAGGCACGTATACAGTGGAGTGGCTTAAACACAGTTTACCTACTTGAATATTTTTCCTTGACTGCATTTAGTGATTGTCCCACTGAAAATATTTGATCCAAACTAAACTTTGATCCTGCAAAAACTAATGGGTAGGATAATGGGTAAATGCACTGGTCCATAGAGCAGTTTATATGTGATGTCAGATGGCATGCACTCCATTCAACTGATTCCCAATAATGGACTGTTCCTTTCTTTGAACTCTGGCTTGTGAGGGTTTGTCAAATAAAGGCAGCTGTTTCTTTCCCACAAATCCAACAATTTGTGTGTGGATGGACTACACATCAGAATATGCCTTTTGTCTTTAAGAATATACCCTGTTTGTCCTGTTGTCAGATAGATAAATACAGTATATTGAAAATACATGGGAGTATCTGTTTGTGTAGAGTAAACTCACCTGGTTCACCACAAGATGCCAACCGCTGATAAGCCTCGAGGATAGAGAAGAACAAAAGAAAAAAGGAAATACTGAAGAAACAAAGAATGAGATTAAGGAAATAGGGAAGGATATAAGGAAGAACAGAAGGAAAGGAAATGGGTAAAGAGACTACAATGAAGAAATATATAGGCTACTGTAGGAAGGATGGCTGTCTGGCAGGTCATTATGCCAGAGGCAGGGAGATATTTTTGAGCATGTGGGGCGATGCTGCCCTGTCACCTGTCAGAGGGAATGCAGCATTGCAGCCTAGCAGAAACACTATGGGCATCTTCCAACATATACTAACACACTCCTTGACCAATAAACAGTAATGCAATGATGAGTTGATTAGAATGGCTTTTCTTATTTGAATAAACATAATAATAAACACATAACCAGACCCACACCATGTGGCCATTCTGTGTGGACCTACAGTATGTGACCAATTTCTGAAAATGAAAATGAATTACAATCTTCACAGAACCTTATTTTTGGCTTTTGTTTTCAATAACACATTCCTAAAATGAAATTGCGATACATCAAACATATATCTCTTTGAAATGGCTGGTTTACCTATTCAAGTTACTATAAAGTGATTTGGAAATGGCAGTAAAAATAGTCACAAATATTTATTTACACACAAATTCACAAAGAAGCAATTTTTATTTATTTTATTCAGAAGATTCTTGTTTTCTTTTACTAGAAATGTAAGCATTACATCAATTGTGCTTGGACTGATTTCATTTATCGTAAAAATAGCTGTTTGTTTTCCATACAAGTGCCATGCAAGTTCAGTATTTCTTTGAAAATTGACAATAATTATTGTTGAAATATATACAAATGCATGTTGTTAATTTAATTTGACAGACATAGGGGTAGGCTATACGATGCAATTCAGCATAAACCTTTGTCTATGAGATATATTTATTGTTTGCTGTAGGCTAGATGCAGTTTCCCATTTACTGTGATTTTATTTTATTTATCTGGATGAACTCCACCCATGACAAACCACCTGCATGCCAGATTATGCATCGTTCACAAGAGGCATACGTCAGTCAAATTGTGTGACATATGAGTCATTAATGAGGCAGAAAACAGTGCCTCCTTCTTCTTCTAACCCGGACCTGACACAAGTAAAAAACAAAAATACCAACCAGCCCCTATTGGGGGCATCATTCTATGTGTGATGAGATGGTGTGGCTCAAATGCCAGCTGAACAATTTGTGCACCCTACATCTACTGTATTGTTTGATTCAGTGCCTCTAAGGGTATGGGACTATTGTGTTTCAACTTTCTGACTTGGATCACAACAATAAATCCTAAACTAATGCTGCAAAAACCTCAAAAAATGTTGTTCCTATAATGATCATGTGTTACAAGGGAGTGATAGCTTAACACATAACAAGCACAACAGAACAAAGGGCTTAGAAATGTGTCTCCAAGTACTTCATCTTTACTTTTCAGCTACACCTCCTGTCTGTGGCCACCCTCCCACCGTCCACATGTGGGAGTGACAGTATTTGAAAAGAGAGCAAAGCCTGTTCTGTCCTCAGCTATCAGGCTTATAAGCACAATTGTACATTAACCATCCAAGCATGGGTTTCAGATGTAAATGCATGGTAATTAGCTACAAAAGTGGCTATTACTGCTGCCTCTTGTCTGGTCTCTTTATGTGTTTTCGTCTGCTATTTAAATGCATCCTGTCCACATAATTCTAGGCCACTCTCAGCCAACCTGCTGCCGTATATACTGTAACTCAAAAGAGGTTGCCATCGTGTTCAAAGTTACTCCAAAGTTTCTGTTCACCTTGGAAAATTCTAAATCCGAGCTGCTTTTTTCTGTTTGTTTGTTTTTCAGCAATACTTCCATGCCGGAGGAAATGGGCTGAAGAAAACCTTCCTTGAAAAAAGCCACGATATGAAGTCCCTCAAATATGCTCTCAGCCTTTACACTCAACCTACAGATGCCTTGATCAAGAAATATATATGCACCCAAACCTCTCAAGGTAATGAGCTAGCCAAGGTTCGCGCTCAATTAGGTTTCAGTTCAGGGAGTGGAACTACCTCAGGAGTCAAGTAATGAAAAACTTTAAGGTTAAAAGCTGTGTTCTGTAGAGAGCGTCGCATCAGGTCGGTTCAGGTGAGAACTGCAAGCAAGACCAAGTGATGCTAAAAGATGCTTGGATAGTGCAAGTGGCTGGAAAGGTGCGGATAAAAGCACATGTTGTCGATACTGTTGCACCACAGCACTTAAGCACTTTCTTCAGATACTAGTTAGTAAACATAATTAAACTTGATAAACTCTGGTAGTTCAATTCAGAATGCATTTTGCTGCTGTTGTTGCAGCCTTTTTACTTCTGTAACAGGAAACATTTAAGTGCATTAAATGAGAAGGAAAGCCTGATTATCACCAAATCACCAGCTGCTTCTATTGGTATTTAGAATTGATTGAAAATAATGTGGCTCCAGTCCCTTGCTCATTTTAACCTCTGCATAGTTCTGTTTGCGGAGGTCTTAGCTTCCTTTACAAAGCAGTTAATGTGTTCTGAGGATCTCTCTGTGTCACCTTATTCTTGTTAGGCTTATATGTGCAGTGGACATTGCAGCGATTGCATTCATCCCCCCACTGTTTAAGTCCTTTATCTCTCTCACTGTTAATAAATAAATAAAAAATAAGCACATTTTTCAGTGGCCACATCACCCTGAGGGGCTTGAATGCTCCCATGCTCTAGTTCTCTCGCTCTCTTATGAGAAACACGTAAAAACACTGCCATGACAAATTTATAAGATACATGTATAGTGTAAATGTATGAATTCCCTTTTGTTCTCTTTCTCTCTGTCATCACCGACCCACTTGTCTCATTCATCTGTCTTCATATGGAAGTTTCTTCCCGTCGCTCTCTATAACAAGGCTGAAATACCTTCAGGTGTACGAAGAGATTCGAGAGGGAATTCAGCCCAGTTGGGCGTTGAAGCTTTAAGCTCCTGGCTGCCTCAGTGTTTAGCCTTGCAGAACGCTGCATAGGCAGGCAGCAGGGAACAGAATGGCAACGGGAGAAAGCTAGTCAGCCAGCAGGCCCAACCAGTGTTCTCGTTCTCGCTGACTGGCAGATGGGCAAATAGACGCACAGTGTTTCGCTGTATGCTATTTTGAGATTTGCTTGATGTGTTTCAGTTCCTCCTCTCTCTGAGTTGACACCGTGTTGTCGCTCTTTGTCTGAGGTGGTACAACGTGATGCCTGTAAGTGGAGTCAGTGAAGTGGTAGATGAAGCGCATTAGGTCAGTAAACAGTGTGGAGATGTGCTGATGCGTGATGAAGCACAGTGGACACTGTTTCATTAATCACCAGCCCCAGTGCTCTGGCACGCTTAGACCATCGCATGCACTTGTCTACTCTTGCAAAGTGTGTGTTTGGATGCATGCAAGTGTATTTCTGTTTGTTCTATAGCTACAATACAAAATAGTACTAACAAAGATAAACACATCTTTCTTCATCCAGTAATGTCATGTCATTATATCACAGCTTTCTGCTTATAAAAGAACAATCTGTTGATCTTGGTTCTTCAAAACAGCAAAGGGGAAAATTGAAATGGATTAAAGCACCACCGTGCAAAAATGAATGCCTACAACTGACCTCTCTTATCTGCTACCTCTTCTTGTTAGCATTTTCCTCACTTGATCTGCTGGCCCTCCTTACTGTCACCGTTGTGTCTATGTTTGCATTTATCTCCCTTATGCGCCATTCATCTTATTCACACTCTGCTCTCCCATGCCCCTCCAATTGCCCATTTCAGTGTCTCGTCTCTAACCCCAGTCAGAAAACATGTAGAATCTAATTATGAATGACATTATTTCTGCCCGTAGCTGAAGTAAATGTGCTGCTCATTGACCGGGTCATTTCCTAAATGTAATTTCCTGAATGTCATGGGCTTAATTTTCATTACAATAAATCAAGAGTCTTGTTTTCCATTACCAGCTATAATGAGCACTGCATGTTTGGCGCATATTGATTAGCTATTGGATCAACATGTCCTTTCATCAACCACACAGGCACTTGTCTTCCAGGGTTAAACATCTATTTGCCCCGTACTGGATGAAACACACATCCCTGCATCAGGAAAAGTGAGACACATGGTCAGCAATGAGTCCTAATTGTTTACTGGCAGCAGTTTGTCCCCATGTGTTTGAAATTGTAATGATGTACCTGTGCAGGGTGTGGTGCCCAAATCTCTTTCTTTGCCTTCACTCTTGTCCCCTCTCTACCCCCTACATTGTTTTGCCTTCATTTCACTTGACTTTACTGCATACAGTCAAATGCAGGGTTTTGTTTGTATTTCTGTTGCGTTGAACAGGATTTCATTTTGCAGAACATTATTTTTCCTGTGCATCCCTCCACACCATCTGCCTCCTCCATGGCCTTCAAACTATTATTATTATTTCGTTTTTTTCTTCTTCTTCTTGTGGCTCCTGTTCAGCCTCAAGCTAAAGGAAACCCTGGCATTGCTTGCTACTTAGCTACCATATGGTGAATTCAAGTTTACTCCCCTACTGTTTTATTGTATGTATTCATTTATTTTAGCTTTGACACAGAGAGAGGTGTTTTTACACCATTTTCAGATCAATTTTTGGATACCTCATCCACTAAGTTGCACCCACAGTTTTGGATCGGACTTTTCATCTCTCTCTCTCTCTCTCTCTCTCTCTCTCTCTCTCTCTCTCACTCTCTCTTACTATCAATTTTCTCAAATCTCTTTTATTGCTACTTCCTTATCTCTCCGTTTCTCTCCCTGGCTTCCTCTCTGCCACTCCTCCATTCTCAATGATTTTCATTGTGCTTTTTTTTTTTTTTCAATTCTCCTCTTGTTGTTTTGGTGTGTGTCCAGGTGAGTCATCCAACGGATCGGTGGGAGAGGTGTCAATGCAAGTGAATCTCATCTCTCACCCTGGCACCGGAGAGCACAAAGTCAGCGTTAAGGGTGAGATGTTCCTATGCAATATCAGCGTCTCACTCTCCTTTATAATGGATTTATCCCTGCACATTGTTTGTGTTTAAAATGGTCTACAAATAAACTCTTGCAATTTGACTCATAAATGACACCCAAAGATGTTTACTGTTAATGTTCCAGACAAGTTCTGCTATGAAATTGTATTGTATTTGCTCTGACAGTATCTATGTACAATATTATATTTTCTACATTTAACCAATTCTCTGTGGGGGGAAATAATAAATACACATTAAAAAATAGAGAATAAGGCCAGGAATATATATATATTCAGCCATCATTAGCGTTTGACTTTGCTCATCATTGTTTTCTCTGTATTTCTCAGTGTTCGCAGTGAACAACCTCATCTGGCAAACCAACGCCATGTTCCGGCCGTTTGTAGAGGTAAACGCCGTGGGACCACACCTGACTGACAAGAAGCGCAAATTCAGCACCAAGACCAAGAATAACAATTGGTCACCAAAGTACAATGAAACATTCCAATAGTGAGTAATCATGCATCCTTCATGGCAGTTAGAGAGGTGAAGAGGGAGCAAAACCAGGGATGTTTTCAAAAGCCTACATTATTATTATTAATATTATTATCATCCAGTATTTTCCTGCCTACATACAACCTAAAAATTGTCAATATTCTGTACCTGTACTATATGCTGCAGTATCTTCAAACTAGTATTCAGTATGCTATCTGCATACTTAAAAGATCCTCCAGCAACATATATACCACATAATACCTGACTGCCAAAGTCTTTACAGTTTTTCGAATGCAATTGCCTTACCAGCACATCTGATCATTGCATGAAGCTGCTGAATGTAGTCATTCTGAGCCAAGCCAACTAAAGTCACTGAGCTAAAGTGACCATCAACACCAGAGTGCAACATCAGTGCAGACTCAGTGCTGTCTGCATATAGATTTACTCTTAACTTTATCACTTTAATTTTAAGAAGCTGTTCAAGTTGCTGCGGATGATTTAAATAAACAGCCTAAAATTAGGGTCTATCTTGCGATTGGTGAAGTAGGGGGAACAATGGCCTCTTTGCCACTTCCTACACCTCTACTTCTGGCTCCCTTGCTCTGACCACACGGGTCTTAGAACTCAGCCTTAATTTTGATCTAAACTACTCACCCGTACTTTCATGACTGCATCTCGCACAGTTGCGACGCCATCTCTGTGACAAAATATGTCAAAGTACTCAAAACCGCTTCTGTGGCAGTACACTGGGTGTACAGCAGGTGTCTTCAGGACCCCACAATGCTAACCCACAATGACACACACACAGACTGGTGAAAGGTGAAAACAATACCAGCATCGCTGTTGTGGCTGGCCACAAAAAGCTGGCTCAGTATAATGGCTCATTTCAATAGAAACATTAATTTCATTTGCAAAACAGGACTGAATTGTTTAATAAGCTGTGGAAATATCACCCAGCCACAGTCTCTTCCTGACACTATATTCACTGGGAACAAAGCCGAATGTCACTGTCCAAAAAGCAATTTGTGTGCACTCGTGTACAATTCATCATAATGACACTTTGGGCTTTTAATTACGTTTCAAAAATAATTTTTCAAAGTCAAGTTAGTGTACTTTTAGGTGACTTACAGCTAACTTGACAGTGTCTAAACTGTCACAACAAGGTAAACCCTACATTTATATTATTCATGCAGGTTAAATAGTTTCCTTTTTAACACTGAAGTACTGCAATATAGTACAACACTACTGATTTTGCTCTTGAGTATGACCTTTCCGATCTCTGCGTGTCATTTCTCCCAGTGTTCTAAGTAATGAACATGGTCCGGAAGCCTACGAGCTGCACGTCTCAGTAAAGGACTACTGCTTTGCCCGTGAGGACCGCATCATCGGCATGACGGTCATCCAGCTAAGAGAGCTAGCAGACAAGGGCAGCTGCTCCGCCTGCTACCCCCTGGTGAAAAGCGTCGCCATGGACGAAACTGGCCTCACCATCATGAGGATACTCTCTCAAAGGACCAATGACGAGGTGGCCAAAGAGTTTGTGCGTCTCAAGACAGACACACGCTCGGCGGAGGAAGTATCATAATGTGCAAAAAAAAAAAATGCAGTATTAAAAAAGTTGTGTTGTCTTAAGTGGGAGATAAAAAGAAAAGGCAGAAGGAGAAGGAGCAGTAGCAACAGATGCTCTTTCTGGATAGGTGCTGGAGAATGAGATTTTCCAAAGAGAAGCGCAGGAGGCCCAAATGTGTCAAGGCAGCAAGACAGTGAGAGAGAGAGAGAGAGAGAGAGAGAGAGTTGTGTTTGTTTGTTTTTGTGCATGTGCGTAAAACATCTGTTGGAATGTTCATTTTAAAACTACAGTATGTACAAGTGTTTACTTACCGTATGCTTACTATTAAGTACTATATTCTACGAGTTATGTTAACGAGACATGAAATACCTTTTGTACAACATTTAGTCTTTTTGAACAGAGATTTGTTCCAATAAAGTGCCAAACCAGTGAAAAAAAGAACAAAACCAACGTATATGAAATATGGTGAACTTCGTATGTTTGAAATTTGCTCGATTATTTTGTCCGGTGTAAGTCTTTTTCTGACAGTGTGGCGTTTTGATTGTTGCAAAGTCTTTCATTTTGCATCCTTGTTTTTTGGCTTCACGTTCTTCCACAAAGCACTGTTGTGCATGTCCTCTTCTCAGTCATGTCTCTCCCATGATTCTACAGTGACCACCGAGCAGGGTCCTGTCCCCTTGCCTTCAAACTGTTTGTATTTTAAGTCGACCTGAAAATAGACCATGTTTTTTTAAATGGCGATGACTGCTATGTAAACCTTCATAGGTGTTTGTAATTTTATAACCATGACAACAATGACGACAGCCTCCAGTGCTAACAGTCTTAGCAGAAAAGATGGAAACGTTTTCTTTTCTTTGGCTTTTAGTTCTTTGTTTTTGGCCATCAGCTTCCAGCCTTTCTGAATGACCACTGTGAACATGAGCTTTGGAAGGCAAGCTTACATGACATTGCTGACAGTTTGATATTATTGTTTGATATTTTTCCGATAACTTTGTTCTTGATAAACTGCCAAAGTTATATAAAATATTTGTACAAAAGCAATCCATTACATGTATGAAGATAAATATGTACATGTGATCTATTACTTTTTCAATGCTTAATATTTGATTATTGATAGGGCGGTACTAAGATTTTATTTTTTTTATTTCCTGTGAAGCTGTTAACCAATATGAAAGTTGCACATGTTACTTTACACATTAGTTATATCAGCTTCTGTCATTGAAATTATTTTTCTTCATAAAGGAAAGAGTCTAACATTTGGTAAATATGCAACATTCCTATGTATTGCACTGATGGCGAATTGTATGTCATGTAAATATATTTAGTGAGATATTGTACAAAAGTCTACTTTTCTTCAATGTGCATAAAGTATGTGCAAATATGTTAAAACATATGGGTCATTTTGGAAAAATTGTCCAGTAAGCATCCCTTTAACAAATAGCTTACAGTAGACATAATGAAAAATGTGGTCAGTTGCATCTAGATTGGCTATCTCATAGCAAATCAGAAACCTATTGATATTTAAGAAACAAAAAATGTCTGTGTTCAATCTGAAAATGATTTTCACTGGTTTGCAGAGGCGTTGGGGGGGAAAAAAAGAATCAAAACCAAATATCTTTTTTTATTCCATGAATTCTTCTTCCTTGTCAAAAACCTGCATCTTTACAGCCAACAATTCAGTCAGAGATTTGGGTGTGTTATGCTAGTAGCGGCTAACTTCGCCTGAAACTGATTAGGAGCAGGCTGCACAGGTTTGATAAACTCACTTATTTTTAACTACGCAAACCAGATTATTTTCCTTTTCAATCTTGGAGTCCTCCGCCCCAGCCAACGCTGCCTCATATGACGTCACTTGAGGCAATGCATCACCCTTGCACAGCTCCCCCTGGAGCCACAAAATTGTTAATACATTTTTAGTAATAGTTTGGTAGTACTCCCCAAGGCCTGACAGACTTTGATGTGAGTTCCCCTTTAAATGTTACAAACATCCCTCAATACACCATGAAGCACAATTGGCAACATTAAACAAATATTTTAACTTTGTCTTCCATTGCTCTTGCAATAGGAATTGCAGACACTCAACTCCAGAAATAACTTAATTCCAAACTCACACTAAAGAACATTATGGCATTTTAGAACATGAAAAAAAATTGGTATAAAAAGGTAAATATTTTCTTAATGGGTTTGACTTCCAGGGTGAAACACACACTGGACTGCCTGGTCGAATAAGTTTCAAGTTTCCTACCCACCTACAGCATAAAATCTTCCTAGTTGTGTCTTCTCACGGTTTACTTTGTCAAAGTTACTCTTGAGTGTGCCTCTGTCATAGTGAACATTTGATTTCTCCATTCACATGCCTTGTGTATTTGAGTGTGTGTGAATGAAACACTTGCTTTGAGATCAGTTATGCTCTATTTACTGTTAATCATTCAACACCCACAGAAAGAAAAATGCAGCTCTGTGGCAGGAAATAATCCTTAAAAAACATGTCACCTGCCAAAACTTCAATGCCACTTTTACATGTTTTTATTTGGGCCATGTGTTACTTCAGAGAGCAGGTAATATCTGGGTAAACGTGAGAAGTAGCCTGAATACAAACACTGTAAAGCCCAATGTAATGATAAGCACGCTAGACAGTATAATTGTACCTGGCATGGGGAAATTCTAACTGTATAAGTGTTGGTCCATTTTACAATACAGAATGACAAACAAATATTATTTTAAAGAACCACTACAAAAACTACTTTAGAAATAACTTTAGAAAACTGCCGTTCATTGAAAGCCAATAATAGGCACAGACAGTTTCTTGATCAAAAGCCCACACAGTGAATTTAATCACCTGGAACCGGCCCATAAGAGAACCAGACAAAGTAAGTCCATTTGTCAGTGTCACCCTTTTGTCTGTTCTTTACAGCTGCATTCCAATACTGAAGATGGGGAAAAAAAGAAAATGAGAGATGCCAAGAGATCGGCAGAAAACACGGGGCTGTCAGAGCGCAATGAAGATATGGATAAACTATAGATACAAACATCGGGTAAAGAACTTCAGAGAAAAGGGTTGGGTATGTGTGGGGTATTTTTAGTCCTAATGCTCAGCGAGGTAAAGCAATCACTGCTCATGTTTCTCCACAGGGATTTCATCACAGATTAATAAAGACACATTTGGGGTGAGTATTTCTTTGCCATTTGGTATACTGTATAATTTGATGTAAGAACATCTACACAGAATCTTTTTTTTCTGCACTGTAAATTCTATTTTCAACAGTCTTTTATGTGTGTTAATGTCACGGCAGACATTTTGGCATGTCAAAGCAGGAAAGTGTAATTGATAACATTAAACGGCATGACTTACTGGGACACAGAGCCATCGTTATTAAAACGTGTTTCACCTTTATTATTCTCGCTATGACAACTAAACATGTCTGCCATGAAAAAGGTGTAAGCCTATTTAATTATTAAAATACACACACACACAAGAGAACAACTTAAAACACCAATAATAAAGCATCTTGCTCAAAAACTGAAAGCCGTATTGCAATATTTTGTAAAATGCTTTGCTATTTGAGTTAAAGAATATCGACCACTTTAAAATATGAGAATGGTATCAAACTTCTCACCAAGAGAAGATTACAAGCATAACATTTTGCAGTTTTTTTAGTGGCCCAACTTTCAAGGAGAGCTTCCACCAAAAACCTTAAGTCCTGGAATTTATGCTTTATGTCGTTGTTGTTACAGTAACTGCATGTTGAGATTAAGTATGGTATAACTAAACATAAAAACAAACTTATTTTCTGAATGACAGATGCAGTTTATAGAACAGATAATTCAAATCAGTAGCAATGCAGGGCAGCCAACATGAACATAGATACAGATTGTATAGGTCTTTAAATATTAGAATAGCCAATACAACAGCTACAGTGTAATAGAAAGCTATTAGATGCCTTTAAATACATGCACTTTAGCTAATAGTGTGACATTACTCGTCACAGCTGCATTAGGTGCAGTTGAGTGTGTCTGTATTTGTATTGAAATTACAGCAAATTGCATCATTGTTTTAAAAAAAATCCCAAAACGCTACAATCCCCTACCCTACTTCAAAATTGGTGTGCAACAGCAATTTTCCATTCTTTTCTTTTCGTTAGCCAAGTATGCCAGTCACACCACCAAAGAGCAAACTGAAGCAGGGGGAAGGGAAACACTGTCACTCATGTCCTCCTAGAAGGGAGGGAAAATAGAACAAAACACTAACCTGATTCATCCTAACTGTAGAGCTGCCAAGATGCAAAAATCTTCCACAACCTTGACCCCTAATTTGCATGTTGTCAATTCCTCCACGAATGTGAGGTCATCTCCAGCACATTTCAATGGACAAACTGATCTCTGAGGATGAGCTGGTTGATATCATTTATGGAAAGATGACATCCATGTTGCTAACCTCATGGTCTGTGTGTATGTGCGTCCACCTAGCAGCTGATTTCTCTTACTGATAATGCTTTGGATTAGGTTAATAAAGGACTTACAGGGGCGAGTAATTGACAATATGACAGGAGGATGAAGCTCAACAAGAGGAGGATACATTATCCAGAAGTTATGGGCCAAAGGAACATGTCCAACTGTGTGATTATGTAATGCAGCCAGCTGTTACGTATGACTAACAGACCGACAGACATGAAGCATCCAACCTGGACTTTTCTGTGTCCTTCCAACCAGAGGGCTGTTTATTCTTCAGGGCAAGATTGATGGAAAAAGTCCATGTTAACCCCAAATTGTTCCCGTAGGCTGTTCCTGCTGTGTATGAATGGTTTAATAGCCCTGATGGGCAGGTGGCACCTTGCATGTTAGCCCCTGCTATGAGTGTATGAATGGGTGTGAATGAACATGTGTTAAAGCACTTTGAGCAGTTGAAAGGCGCTATAAACACAATTCCCATTACCTACCATTTACCATTCACAGCAGGATGTTTTTCAAGCCAGGCCGAAGATCCAAACTGGTGGAGAGGTGGATTTCTATGAATTTGATATATAAGGTATAAACTTGATTAAAATGAATTTATATCACCTTCAAGTAATATGATACAAGGTGCAAGAGAATGCAAGCTGATCCAGTTTTACAGAGTAAAGTCTCATCAAATGCAAATACTATTCATTGAAACACAGTGTAGTACTATACTAAAACACAGAATGAAACATGGAGCAATATTGGAATTCACAGCAGGAGTGAATACCTATTCTACTGCATTTTATTCTTTTATAAATATATACGGCAAATATAATGTAGGAAGCACATTTCTGAAGGGAAAACAGTCCTTCAACAAGAAACACTTATTCAAATATTTATCAAAGAATGCAAACTACATTTAATAAGTTGTAACTGATGGCATGCATATCAATGTTATTTTGATCCTGTGGATTTGAATTTTGATGTTTCAAACACTTCCCTCCACCAGACCATTTTTATTTGTCATAGCATGGAAAGCACAGATTTAGAGGCTTTGGACACTTACACAAGTTAATTTATTTGGACTAATATACCTTTTTCGAAGCAGGAGTATTCGTCAGACACTCGTCAAACACAGGTGTTGCAGATAACGTTTAAAAAGTTATATGCTGTGTATACTGTCTCACTGACACACTTAAATCAGATGGAGCCATAATGTCATTAGTTACACCTGTGTTTTTACCTTCTAAGATGGGTCAAAATGTATGCTGTGAAAAAGGTCTTGAAGCTTATATTGTGGACTACATTTACCATCTGCCATTTTATTTGAGTGTCACTACATTGTGCACTCAAAAACATCGCATAGGGGTGCATCCCAAGTCTCTGAAATTGCATCCACTTTTCCCTCACTTGCGTCTTCTCCTCGCGTCTTGCCCTGCATAACTCATGAAGGATGCAAGGAACAGACGCCTGTTTCACCTGTGCTTTTACTAGTGTGACATGTCAAAATGTCTTCCACAAAAAAGGCCTCATATGATGACTGTTTCATACAACATTTTAGTTCAGGTGTGCTATTAAGCCATGGCCAGTGAACCAGCGTTGACTGTTTCAGGGTAATAACACTGGCAGACCTAGAATGCCATAGAATACAAGGCATTGATGTTATTTGTCACACCAGGTTTGACAAGTGAAAACAACTGTAGTGAGAAAAGTCTGTGTTGTAACATTTCAGTCCCTGCGAGACAGTTCCTTGGATTCACTGCCCTATTTGATACTGTATCATACTTTGGTATTCTTCAGATGTAGTTACATGGAGAAAACCTGAGATTGCTGCGGATTGTAATTACAGCAATTACCTTTCAAACTAGGTGACTTCCTTTAATGTCTTACTCTTCATTCTTGAAGGCCGAGTTTAACCAGCTGGATCCACTCACACACTGTCCAGTATCACTGTGACAAGTTGTCCAGGTTTCCGCCCCACTTCATCTCCCCGTGGCTTTCCCTTCCTCTCCATCACTGGACTATAGAGCTGCTCCTTTTCACCTCTCAGTGCTTTAAAATAGCCTCCCGTGTGTCTAGAGGTGTGTGTGTGTGTGTGTGTGTACGTTTTTGTGTACCACATATAGAGTATGTATTGTAAGAAAGATAACATTGTGTGACCTGCATGTGGATGTACTGAGCATGTGCTGTGTCCCCATGAATTATATATATATATATATATAGTATCTGCTTGAGTATGTGTTTTGAGTGTGTCCTATGGGTGTGCACTTGCCCTGCCCTCTCTCCCTAACTAATCTGGCTGAGTTTAATTACAGCTTTATATGTCTCAGTGGGCACAGGGAGCCTGCTCCTCCTCCTGCCATTAAACAGAAAAAAAAATCAGGTCTGCAGCCCCAATGGGGAAGTCGGAGCAAACCATTAAAGCACAGAGGTGGACACTATAATTGTTAAACAATAAGTGACGCACCACCCTAGAAGCACAAGGTGGGATCTTCGGGTGATTAGACATGACGAGGTACAACAGAGCTGCCATTTTTGACCCTGATAGATGAGATGTTGAACTGAACCATGGCACTAAGCATCCAACAGTTAGCATGTAGTTGGCGCAGACAATGCTGTATTTCTTCTGCTGGTTGACAGTTTTATAGCAAACACACATGACAACAAGGGAGGGGGAGACATAATTCATTTCCGTCTGTGATACAGTCATCTGGGTGTAGTTTTCAGTTGACTGCGCACGGTTTCATTTTGCAGCTTCTGATTAAAAGCAAGTGCCTGCAAATAGAATCCGGTCACCATATCGCTCAATGGCAAGTATATCACTTTGATTTGACAAATCATTACATTTTACAGCCTGTAGCTGTCTTATTCCAGGGCCCTTGAAAATAGCTCAGTTGGGCTCCTGCAACAGGAAATATCTACAATCTCTTGTTTGCTCTGGAGCTCTGGGGCACCGCAATCATCTGTGAGATGCCCTCAGGTACTTTGCATGAAACTTTAGTTAACAAGTAAATAAATTCTTTAAAAGTTTTTTGGTTTTATCCCCTTTATTTTTGCCTGATTAATAGCCAGAGTTTGAGTGGAATATGTTTCTGTTTCTGTCTGCACTGGGACACTGATGCACAGCAAAACACAACAGAGGCATTATTTGTATTCCTCAATCGTAAATCACCGCCATGATTTCAAAGAGAGAACACAGGACATAGGACTTTTTTTTTCATTTATTATCATTTTCCATATTTCTTTATCTCATGGGAGTTCACAGAAATAAATTTGATAAATGGCAAGTACACTG